ATTAAACCACAAATTGCAAACTTACCGGCGGCGGTGCAGCAGTTGAGGGGCGGTGGTCTGCGTCCTCTCTGTCTTCCTCTTTCTCCTTCTCCCTTTCTCTCTCTTCCTCTTCCTATGTCACCCTCCCTTTCTCTAGATGGGATAATCACAGCCTTGGAATTATTCAGGGTTGGTCGTCCCAGAATCATGTTGTAGGCCGAGAGTTCTTCTACCACAAGGAACCGGACTACCATGTGTCGTCCTTCCCCTTTTTCACCCAGGCGGATGGGTAGATCTACTCGTCCTACAGGATGGACGACTCCTCCCCCAAACCCTACTAAAGGGTGGGAGGCCGGATGTATACAATCAGTTTTGTACTTCAATTTTGACAGACATTGCTACTGATAAGATCTGAAGAGCTTCCGGTATCTATGAGGATTCGGCCAACTCTCTGATTGGCCACCTTACATTCAATGACAATAGGGTCGTCATGCGGCCCCCTGACCCCTCCTAGATCTTCTTCAGCAATGACAATCTCAGGAAATGAATTTTTGGAGGGCCGTTCTGGGTGAACAGAATTTACATCCAGCCGCCTGATATGGTCTTTGTTGCCCCTAATAGTGGGGCCGCCTCCTGAGAAGCCGCCTGCAATGGTGAAGACGACTGCATCATCCGTATCAGAGCTGTCGGCCTGTTGATTCTTTTTGGCCGACTGTTTTTTTCGAGGAAGTGCTCCCCGTGGATTTCTTGATATAAGAGTCAAGATCCCCTTGCTCAGCCAGGCGGTCCAGATACCGCATGAGGCTGATGCATTCTTTGGTGTGATGACCAACATCTTCATGATAGTCACAGAATTTATCTTGGTTCCGGTTGCTTGCTGAACCTTTCATGGGGACCGGCTTCTCAATTGAGATCCGTCCTTGATTTCTTTTAGGATAGCTTGGCTGTCCTTGTTAAACACATACTTTGGGGAGTATGGTTTGAATTCTTTTTTCTTCTTCTGGGCCGGCTGTTTAGAGGAATCAGCCGCCCAGACCTCTTTTCTTTTTTCATCTTTGTTGGACGACTGCTTCTGTCGTCCTTCTCTTTTGTCAGACTTTTTCCAGTCCGACTGCTTTGTATTGCAAAGATCAGTCGCCTGTATATAGGCTTCTGCTTCAATCAAGGCCTCCTGAAGAGTCGCCACCCTCTTTCGAACCAGGTCAAATTTGAAGGTCGACCCATCCTTGAGACCCCTAAAAAAGTCAGTATAAGCTACCTCATCCGGTAACCCTTGAATCTGTATTCTCATCAGGTTAAACCGCCTGATGTAGGATCGAAGCCCCTCCTTCTCACCCTGCTGAATTGTTCCCAAATCAAGGGTCGTCTTCTTCGCAGGAATATTCATGGCGAAGTTGGAGGTGAACAGATAAGCAAGCGTCCTGAAGTTGTTTACACAACCAGTCGGCAGGTTGCCGAACCATTGCTGTGCAATTCCTTTGAGAGTCGCTGGGAAACACTTGCACCAGGTGGGATCATCCAATCCTTGAAGGTACATCAGGTTGGTGAATGCCATCAAATGGTCTTCTGGGTTAGTAGTGCCGTCATAGGCGCCTACTAAGACATTTTTTACCTTGGCCGGCTGAGCGGCTTCAGTAATTTCCTTGGAGAAGGCCGACGGCTGTTCACCAAGCCTAAGCAACCGTAGCTGCCAGTCCATAGGTTGGACATTTTTTGCTGCAGATCCACCAAATGGAGGTGGCTGCAAGAAATACTGTTGTTGCGGTACAAACGGTAAGTTTGGTACCGCCTGGTCGCTATGAAAGCCTGACCGACGGGAGGTGCCGCCTGACTGACTCTCATGATACGACTGGGTATGCCTTATTGAGGCATTTTGTAAACTTTCTTGAAAATTTGAAGTAGAGGCCGACTCTGACAGTCGGTCACTCTTCTTCTGTTCTAACAGCAGACGAGCGTCTGTGTATGTTTTCTTCGACCCGTCCGCCTGAATGTGACGAACAGGTTTCCTATTTCCTGGAGTAGGAAAATGGTATTTTGTGAATTAAGGGCAGATGGCTCCCACTTCCTTGATTTAGGATGAGGGGTTGCCTCTCGCCCCTGAACCGGTTTCCCTCTTCCGTGAAGAGGAAGGTTTCTTAGCCGACTGCTCTTTGTCCAGAGCAGGCGTCTTCTTAGTGATTAATTCCTGAATTTCTCCCTTGAATTCCTTCATGAAGGTCATGAGTTCGTTCCTTTGTGATGGGAGCAGACCCATCAATCGCTGCTGCCCGAACAGATGGTTGCGCCTGTTGGCTCACTAAACAGTTTGGAAATGTTCCCGTTCCCTCCTTTCGGTAGGACGGGTGCGTCGGGCCCTTAGGGTCCCGTCTGGAGCTGTGTGAGCTTCAACTTCAAGTTCATTGTCAGTATCATGGTCCGACTGGACTTGAGGGTCGTCTAGGGGACGCCTCTCTTCAAAAGTCGGTACAAACGTGGATGCCATCTCAGAAGTACTCTCCCCACAGACGGCGCCAAAATGTTTCGGGGTTTTCTGATGTCCTTCGGGAGAGTTACAACACCGAGACTGGAACCGGACGCCTGTACCTGCAAAACAACGAAGACTCCTTGTGGTAGGAGCTCCGCCTCCAACGGTCAAATTAGTACCTGATTAAGGAGTAATAAGTGCGGAAATAAAGGTGATTAGGTCTCTCTAGGTGAGAGTGTTTAATGTGTGTAATCTCTGTTATTCGAGTTCTCTCTCTCTTAATGAGGATTAAGAGAGGTATTTATAACCTCGAGAAGCGTGCCAGTCTTAGGTTTAGGGTAAACCTAGGGCTGACTGGGCCTCATTATGCGGATTGGGCCTTGGTGGCCGTTTTTCCCATTTGGCATGGGTGGACACGTGGCGTGTCTCAATTGGTCCGTAAAGGACATATCTGTGACTGACACGTGGCAGGCTCCTATTGGCCCACATGGAGGACACATGGCGGAACCTGGTTGGTCCACTTGTCAGACGGCGATTGGTGGATAAAAATCCCCTAATCAGTTGGCTTTGGGGCACTGAATGAGTCCTATGATCGGACTGACCTCTGCTAGACCGAGAGGGACTCGGCCTATGATGATCCTCCCCCCGAGCTGGCACCCTTGGGAGAGTTCCGGTCCGGTGAGGGTGATGGTGTAGGAGTTTTAGGCTTTTCGCCTGCTCCTTGACGGAGGCTTTTTCTCTTGCGGTTCTTAGCCATTGCTACTAAGATGATTGCAAGATGATTTTGATTAGAGATTTGGCTTAAAGATTTTTGAAAGTCTTCCCCACAGACGGCGCCAAATTGTTTTGGGTGAAAACAATGGGGCCTTGCCGAAGGCCCGCTGAAGTGGTGAAGACTGGATTCGGTCCAAGTGATGTTGGGCCGAAGGTTTCCTGCACAGCAAACACACGTAAACTAGCCTCGGGGGTGTTGCCGAGGAAGGCCCCTCCGATGCTAAAGTCAGTACAGTGTGTAGAGAGAGAAAGCTATGCAACAGAATTAATTGCTTGAGACTTTGTGTGAATGTCTGTACAAATGTAATATTGATGGTTTTTATACCTTTGTATATGTGGAGAATGTGGGCCTTGGCCCAATTGACTTGCCTTGTGGACTGATTTTGACTTTAGCACAATTAGAGAGTTGAACCTTGACCTTGGGCTTTTAATTGGATCATTTAATGACTAGGCCCAATTGGACTAAATTGGACCCAAACAGAGTATATATATGTTGATCACTTATCGATCGAATAAGACAAGTGATGTATTTTTTAAAAGCAGATGGAATCAAATTAATTCTGTGTATGTCATTCAATTTATATAATTATTAATTGAGATTAAAATTTCAAGGGTATGGTTATTATTCATGATGCAAAATTAAATGTTAAGTGAAATAAAATCTTAATAATACTCTTTATTCTCTTTTTTTACTATCATTATTTGATCCATTGTCATGCATGCTAGCTTGTAAATTTGCAATTCTAGCCCGCGATCTAAGGTACCCATTGTAAACGTTATCCATTTGTCATATATGTATTAAAATTGTTTTATCTTATGATTTTATTTTAATATAATATTCCCTTTCCAAAATGTGATATAAAGATGAATGATGTGACGTATATTAGGCCAAGATTTTATCACGCATGAAATTATACACGAAATATTTTATTATATGACTATATTATGAGAGGCTGAAATGAGGTTCTTTTTCGTAAAGCCTTGTTGTTTGCTACTTTTCATCTCTATTTTAACATTAAAAAAATTAGAGTTGCAAAGGTGGTGTTTGCCAGATTTCTTGATTGGTTTTTCTTCTTTATCAATAATAAGGGTATTTTGACTTTTACCACCTTCAAATAACCACTTAATTGAATTTACCACCTCCAAAAAAAAAAGATTTACTTTACCACCAACAAAATTTCCAAAAAATCGATTTTACCACCAACTAACGGATTCCGTCCACGAATCCGTTAGTAGGGCCCACCTTTTTGACGTTTCTTCTTCATCTTCCCCGATCTTCCGTGTAAACCAACCAGCAACGAAATCAACTACCTCGGTTGGTCGGAATTTCGTGTGTGACTAAGGAGGGGCCGGAATTTGGTGTGTGGGTTAGGGAGGTGGTCGGAATTAGGTGGTGGTTAGGGTTTTAGGAGTGCGAAATTTGGTGGTGGCTAGGGTTTTTAGAGTGGTCGGAATTAGAAGGGGATTTATGGGTGGTCGGGATTTGGTGGCTGCCAAAAACTAAGAAGCCAAATCACCAACAACAAGGATACAAATCGATTATCATCAACATTTCTACAAACCAAAGCAATTAATCCATTACAACACCCACAAATCGAAACCTCAAAACCAGAAAAAGAATTGGGTAAATCAAACCTTGTCAATCGTTTTTAGCATCAAGCTCAGAACCCCACTTCAATGGAGTCGATTCCAGGTGACTTCCATGGTTGAGGATAAGAAGACGACGGTCAGAGGAGAGAGAATGAGCGAGATGAAGTCTGATTAAATGGGTGTTGTTGATTGATTAAGGAATGCCAAGCCTTGGAAACGCATTTGAAGCGAAGTAGTGATTTAGTGGGTAATCGAAAAGAATAGTCACAATCCTATAATCATCTCTATCAAAAGCATACCCAAAACCAAAATTGATATTGATAAAATCCGGAGCCAGTTCTTCATTATCAGGGGGATGAGGAAGTATGATATGGGTATTAGTAGATGGGTTCCATAACATAATCTCAAACAATTGAGGATTATCAACATTTCTACAACTCAAAGCTACTAATCCATTACAAGACCCAGAAATCGAAAACTCGTAACCAGAAAATGAAGTGGGTAGATCAAACCTGGAGTAAGTAGTAGCATTAGCTGAAGGGTCGAACTCGGAGTTCAGCTTTAATGGCGTCGTTTCCAAGTGACTGCCATAGTTGAGAATAAGGAGACGATTGTTGGAGGAGAGAGATTGAGCGAGGTAAAGTTTGAGGAAATGGGAGGTTTTGAGTAGGGAATTCCAATCTTTAGAAACGCATTTGAAGCGAGCTAGTGATTTTGCAGGTAATCGGGTAAGAATGGAGGTGATTAACTCCATTGGAAGAGACGCCATTGTTGTGGCTTTCGAGAAAACAGAGCAAAAAAATAAATATAAATTGGTGGAAAGGTGGTTGTGGCTGTGCGGTGCGGTGGTGGGGCTGGTCGTAGCGGTTAGGTGGTGGGGGCTGGTCGTAGCGGTTAGGTGGTGGGGGCTGGTCGTAGCGGTTAGGTGGTGGGGGCTGGTCGTGGCCGGTCGGCGGTGGGGGTCCTGACGGTGGCAGCAACACCGGTTGATTAATGGGGATTTTTTTAATTTTTTTTTAAACTTACCCAATAATATGGCGACACGTGTGCAAGGTAGGCTCCACTAACGGATTTATGGACGGAATCCGTTAGTTGGAGGTGATTGGTGGTAAAACTGATGTTTTATTTTTTTATGAGGTGGTAAAGTAAATCTTTTTTTTTTGGAGGTGGTAAATTCAATAAAGTCGTTATTTGAAGGTGGTAAAAATCAAAATACCCTAATAATAATTAGTCATGTGATAATATATTTGAGCTTACTACACCCATAGTTCTTAATTTTTTATGGGCCAGATACATACTCGACCGTGTTAGAGAATAATTTGAACACATACTAGTGGTCGAGACATATTTCAAAAACGCAATAGGAACTCAATAATGTTTGGGTGTTGTTATTTGTCGCTCCCTTTTTACCAGGCGTCGCTCGCATTTTTGACTTGAATTTCCTAAATTGCCCCTTGGTCATAAATAGCCACGAGACTCACGAACTACACATTTCACACTTGAATTTTCTCTCTCTAATATTTTCTCTCTCTAAAATCTGTAATCTCTCAAAAAAATCAGATTTTTTTTTGAAAATCAGAATTTGAAAATTCACAAGGAAAAAAAAAAAAACCACAATCCCAAGTGACTTGCAATGGGTGACCGGAGGCGGATAAGGGTGACGTATGGTGGTCGTGGCGGTGGTGGATTCTCCGGCGAACAGGTAATCGAAACCGAAAAAAAAATTCTGGAAAAAATCTGGAAAAACCCAGATTTTCTGGAAAATCCGGGGACATCCGCCTGAAAAATCCGGATGTTCCTGGGACATCCGGATTTTTCAGGCGGATGTTCCATGGACATCCGGATTTTTCAGGCGGATGTCCCCGGATTTTCCAGAAAATCTGGGTTTTTTCGCCTTTTTTTTATTTGTTTTTCAGTTTTTTTTTTTTTTGTTTTTCAGTTTTTTTTTTTTTTGTTTTTCAGTTTTTTTTTTTTTTGTTTTTTCAGTTTTTTTTTTTTTCTAGTTTTGTTTTGCACATTTTTTTTTTCTGTTTTTTTGGTTGTTGTTGTTGTTGTTGTTGTTGAAGTTGGTGTTGTTGTTGGAGTTGTTGTTGTTGTTGTTGTTGTTGTTGTTGTTGTTGTTGTTGTTGTTGTTGTTGTTGTTGTTGTTGTTGTTGTTGTTGTTGTTGTTGTTGTTGTTGAAGTAGTAGTTGTTGTTGAAGTTGTTGTTGTTCTTGAAGTTGTTGTTCTTGAAGTTGTTGTTGTTGTTGTTGAAGTTTGTGAGGTTGTTTTTAATTTTTTTTAATTTGTTTATGGTTGTTAATTTTTTTGATTTGTTTGTGTTGTTTTTGTGTATTGTTTTTTTTTTATCCTTTTGTTTTTATGTTTGTGAGGTTTTATTTTTGTTTGTGTAATTTGTTTATGTCTGTTAATTTTTTTTTGATTTGTTTGTGTTGTTTTTGTGTATTGTTTTTTTTTTATCCTTTTGTTTTTATGTTTGTGAGGTTTTATTTTTGTTTGTGTAATTTGTTTATGTTTGTTAATTTTTTTTAATTTGTTTGTGATTTTTATTGTTTTTTGGTTTGTTTTTGTGGTTTTGCTTGGGAAAATTTATTTTTGTTTATGATTTTTTTTTATTATGTACGTATTTAACATAGATTGAGGGTTCGGGAACTCGTCACGCAATATCTAGACGTTTGAACGCCTCAGTTAGGCGGGAGTCAGGCCGTTTAGGAAATACGGTCGAACCGTTTGATCACCAGCAGCAGTATGGGTATACTGGTAACTGGTCCGGGGAGCAGCAGCCAGAACGCAGCATCCCCATGTACTCGTCGGGTGGAGTGCCTTCACCTTCATCTGACGATGAGGACGACGAGGCAAGTCAGGCTTCCCGCGATGAAGAGTATGACCCTCGGGATTATCATACGGTGCGTAGGGGTCAGACTGGGAGATTTGTCAGCAGTAGTCAAACCAGTCAGCGTTCCACCAGCTCAACAGAGGCATGGGTAGTGCATGAGGCGATGCCAGGAGGTCCTGAGGATGGGACGGTTATCCCTAGCTTTGGGGGGCACGTGGCTGCGTATATATGGGGCGGGCAGGAGCGTAATGTTTTGCGCTGTTTGGGCAGGACGCAGTTGTATATTATATCCCTAGAACTGTTCAACCTAAATTACATAAATCTGTTCAATCTAATTACATAAATTCGTCTTTCAACGTAATTACATAAATCTGTTCAACCAAAATTACATAAATCTATTCAACCTAATTTAATTACATAAATTCGTCTTTCAACCTAATTACATAAATCTGTTCAACCTAATTACATAAATCTGTTCAACCTAACTACATAAATTCATCTTTCAACCTAATTACATGAATCTGTTCACTGGGCAATTAATGCATCCCACATGTTCCTTCTAGCGATATATAGCTGATCCCATCCACCGACACTTGGCTCGTGGTTCTCTGTCCACCATCCGGCAATCGGGGGAAGAGGTGAATTTTCGCCTAGATCAATGCTGATGAAATTTTCGCCTGGTTCGTCCAGAATGTGACGAATTTGGTCTTATGACAAAGCCAGGTTCTCTCGACATAACTAATCACATTTGGAAAACTGGCCCACCGGATTTTCATTCTGTCTACAGCTGAGTTATAATCCGCCTCAGTCGTGGCATCCATGATACGTTTCCAAGGACCGTTTTTGAATTGCGCCCCAATCTTCTTGTTCTTGAACATACTAGTGACCCGAGCCTTCACATCTTTGTTAATGTGCCACCGACAAAGCAAATGCGACGTCCCGGGAAACTCTTCTCTCAATGCCGCACAAAGTCCAAGCTCACGGTCTGTCAGAAATACCGACGGCTCCTTATCATACCCAATCAACTCTCTTAATCTCTGTAGAACCCACCGGTAGCTTCCCGTGCACTCGTTGCGCATGAACACATAACCGACGAGGAAATTCTGATTTGTCGGTGTCACACCGACTATCTCAAAGAACGGCATCCCGTATCGGTTGGTCTTGTATGTCGAATCCATGCCGATCACATACGGGTACGTCCGTAGTATGTTCACCGTGATCGGGTGCACCATAAACGCATGCTGCAGAACGCTGACATCATCAGACATGACCCAGTAAATATACCGGCTCTCTCTCGCCAAATGCAGAAATTGCTGAACAACTCCTCTCCCATCAGACATCTCCGCTCTCAAGTCATTCCGACAGTTGTAGATATGTCGGATGTTTGGATGGTCATCGGGAAATTGCTCAGCAATTGTCGCCATGATGTTCCGCGGTGCAACCTTGGACTTTGTCATGTCCTGGACAACCTTCTTCGCATCCGGGCTCAAGCCACTGATCTTACGATGACCTTCCGGATAGACAATCATTGGATGGTTATGGGTCCCAGTTGCATCATTCTTGGCCCGGATCTTCCAACTGTCGGTGACGAAGACATAATAAATCTTGATGTAGAAAGGACAACCAATTGCTTTGGTTTTGGTGTCCCTCCTAATTGCATTCTCAAGATCTCTCGGCTGGCTCTTTCGGCCCCTATCACACCTCAAATACCGGTACGACCGACCGTCTCTGGTTTTGTTGTAAGACGATTTAACCAAAAGAAAACCCAAATTTACGGCAACAGCATTCGCCCAATTAACTGCCTCATCAAACGTTGGAAACAACGTGTCTGTGGCAAAATGCGCACTATAATTCACATCGTCGGCACCATCTTCGTATTCCGAACCCTATAAACAAAAATGAAGACACACATAAAACACAAACACGTTACTTCTAATTCTAGTATAGACAATAATAGTAACAATATTAAACATAATATTAACAATAAACACAACAATACTAAAAACAAGTTAACAATAATCATAACCACAATACTAAAAATAATTTAAACAATAAAAACATTAACAATAACACTAATATAATAACCATAACAATAATAACAAAATTAATCATAATAATTACACAATTAAACATAACGATAATAAAAACAATAATAGTAAACACAATAATATCAACAATAATAGCGATACTAATAACCATTAATGCACAAAAAATTAAAAACATTAATAATAACCATAATGATAATAATAATCATAATAATAATAGCAACACTAATAATAAAATAATACTAATAATAATAATCAAAAACATCAACAATAACACTAATATATTAAAAAAAAACAGAAAAAAAAAAACGGTTTTAAGTAACATCCGGAAGGAATTTCCAGATGTTCCATGGAAGATCCGGAAATTTCATCCGGATCCTCCATGGATCATCCGGAAATTCCATCCGGATGTCACTTCCGGACAAAATTTCCGGAAGTTCCATGGATCCGGATGGAATTTCCGGATGATCCATGGAGGATCCGGATGAAATTTCCGGATCTTCCATGGATCATCCGGAAATTTTGTCCGGATGTTACATAAAACAAAAAAAAAAAAAATTTTAGCGAAACTTACTGAATCTTCCGACGATGCCTCCGGTGTGCGATCGTTGCCGTCATTCCACATCTTAAGCCGGTAAATTCACCTCCAGAAAAATTTTGTGAAGAAAATTTAAAAAAAAAAACGACTACTCGGGATTTGGGGACTCGGGAATTTTGAAAAAGAAACTTTGAGTGAAACCGCTCAATAATATTTTTAATATGATCGTGATTCGTTATGACTACTCGGTGAACCTTTAAATAGCACAAAATCACCTAAGGGCAAAATGGTCATTTCAGTCATAATTGGGAGCGATGCCTGGTAAAAAGGGAGCGACGAATAGCAATTCAGTAATGTTTTGGTACACTTATACGTTAGCTCCGTGACGATTTAAAATGGGTTTCCTCCCCTTATGCGTGCCAATTGTGTGGTTCTGCCCCTTTTAGGGCAACCAATATAATTTAGTTGAGCTTCATATTTCAGAGAGATCCTCAAATCTTCTTCATATCTCTAATAATTAAGTCCACCAATCCCATCTTTTTGGGCCAAACAATTAAACAATAATATCCTCCTGTGCTTGTTATTATACAAGTATATATATATATATATATATATATATATATATATATATATATATATATATATATATATATATATATATATATATATATATATATATATATATATATATATATATATATATATATATATATATATATATATATATATATATATATATATATTGGAAATGGATAAAAGTTTTGATTAGCTAAACTTACAAATTAAGAAAGATTTTTCATCTCAAAACCATGTACAATAAACGGTTCAACTCATTAAGCTATAGTTGGTCACTATTTTCTCTTCTTCACCGATCCAATGTCACAAATGTAATCACACATACACATACATTGCATGCATTTTGCATGTGTATGAGCTTCAATACAAAGAATTTGAATTCAAGACAGAATTATTATTGGGTTTTTCTACATAGTACCCCTAAGGTATTCACTTTTCTAAGATGTGCCCACCCATTTTCAAAATTTCACACTGTAACCCCAAGGTACCTTTAGTGTCTACAATGTAACCCTGTCGTTAAGTTGCCGTTAACTATTACCGTTAGTTTTATGTTGCCTCCCTCACACCTTCACGACCCAGCCTTAACCACCCTAACTAACGCACCCAGCCACTGCCACACACCAACAACCACCACACCTAGCACAACCGCCACACACCAACAACCACGAAGAAAATTGAACCCAACCCTAACCCTAACCAGCCCCACCACAGCCACTGCCGGCACTCCCATCCCCACCTACTCCAGCTGATGCACCACCTTAGCCCAACCCCAAACTCGCGATTGACGCACCCCCTAGCCCAACCCAAAACACCTCAGTCCCAACCACTATCGCGCAAAACCACTCACCCCCCTTTCCCCTCACCCTTTAAACTGCCAAATCGACCATTCGGGTTTCATTGGTCGATTCCGGCCATTTAAGGGTGAAAGGGTAAAGGATTGGAGTTTTTCGTCCTTTAGGGTTCACGCATCAACTTTTTGGTGGTCGAATCGGCGGCGAATTGCTGTTGTTGTTTTCGGCGGTGCGTTGTGCTGGGTGCGGTTCGCAGGGTGGGTGCGGTTGCTTGGGTGAAGTTCGGTGGGTGGTTCGCTGGGTGGGTGGGTTTGGAGGAGGGAAGGGTTGGTGGTGCGTGGGTGGTTTTGCAGGAGGGAGGTTTTTTTTTTAAAACAGATTTTTTAATTTTTTAACAAAAGTTAACGGTGTTAACTTTAGGATTAGTGGGGGTTACATCGTAGACACTAAAGGTACATTAGGGTTACAGTGTGGAATTTTGAAAATGGGTGGACACAACTTAGAAAAGTGAATACCTCAGGGGTACTATGTAGAAAAACCCATTATTATTACGTCGCCCTATTCCTAATGAGTTGTGCCTAGTTAATTCCCCAAATAAACAAATTTTTTTGTTTATCTGGGATATAATCGTCTTTTGAAGTACCAGTGGAGGAGTATATGCGTCTTTTTATGTATTAATTGAGGGGTACATGTGAAATTTTCTCACTAAACTTATTTAATCTTAATAATCTGAGTCCATACTTTTAGCAGCCTAGCGGGAATAAACACAAATTTTAAAGTATAAATTATTAAGATTAAATAACCTGCACGAACTCCTTCACATCATTAGCAAGTTTTGTACCCTTTTCCGGTCCATGCATATCCGTTAGTGTCAATTCAACAATGACCATCTTAGAGTGAGGGTCGAGAAGAAGAGCAACATAAATGAACTTATTCATCTTATCCACATCCCCCCAATACTTATCAAACTTTTTTTTTCATTGCAATGGCCATAGCTTGAAAATTCAAGTCCTCACTTTGTTCCCAATTATTCAACATATCATACATAGAAGCAATTTCTCCTAAACCTTTATTAGCTGTCACATAATGGGAACCAGAAATTCGTTTAGTTAACAGATAAAACCCCTCTAGAAACAAAACCAACCTCTCCACTTTTTCCCAATCTTCGGGTTCGGGAGGCCTTTCATTGTCATTCAAATCCTCTCCATCAGGAAGAGATAACCCACTAAAAACACGTCGAAACTTCAAAGCCGTTTCCAACATTATGTATGTGGAGTTCCAACGAGTGGGGACATCAAAGGATAAAGAAGATTTTGAATCTATGTTTGCTTTTTGCACAAGATCTTTGAATCTAAGTATTCTTGCAGGGGAATCCTTAACATATTTCACAGCA